GGCCCCCTTCTCAGCCGCAGGGGCCGCCGCCCAGGCTACAGACCCCCGAATCCCTCCTTGCACTTCGGGGTCTGTCTCTCTCCAGGGTTAGCGCCTCCCGGACCCTCCTGCCCCTCCCCCCGGGCCTGGTCTCCCCAGCTTTCCGTCCGCGTCCTCTGGTCCTCTGAATCCGCCTCCCCGGTGCGGGGCCCCCTCACTGGAGGCAGGGCGCCTCCCACCTCCGTGTGCCCCACGCGGCCCGTGGGGCCTGGCTCTGGGGGCCCCTCCTGGGCGGCAGCAGTGGTCCTGCCGGCGCCCCCGTGTGCCACGCGCCGGACCCCTCCTGACACCACTGCCGGGCAGAGTGACTCATGAAGGGCTCTTCTTGGCGTTTCCTTGGTTTTGTCTTGGTCTTAGAAATGAACTTAAACTTCTACTTGCCAATTTCCATAAAACAGAGGGGAGCAGAACTGCATCAAATGACGAGGCTGACGTCGGGCAGAGCGTAGGAGCTCCAGGTGGGGGCAGCCTGGGCTCCCTGCAGGTGCCCCCTCCCTCAGGACGTGGGTCCCCCCCGCCCCCCCACCGTGGTCTCTGTCAGTGGTCCTGCGCAGGCGCGGGGGCTGCACTCAGAGGCCGTCCTCCAGGACATTCGTTTTTACTGTTTTTGGTCAAATTGACCAGTGCCATGTGATTTTAATTTTTTGAGGAATTATAGTTTCGATTTTAAAAAATCAAAATTTACTTGCTTTCCAATTAATAGATCTCTGCTTTTCTCATTATTTCATCCTACTTCCTTTGGTTCGTTTTGTTTCTTTTAGGTTCTGGTTTCTGAGTTAACTTGGGCTTCTTTCATTTTAACAGCAAAATCAGGACATGATAAACATCGTTTAACAGGAATGCTCCTGGGGCGCTTTGTCTGATGGTGGTGGGTGTCACCTAGGCGAGCTTGACTTGCTCTTTGACCCCACGACAATGGTTGGAAGAACCACTGAAATTGTTTAGCCAGTCAGGGTGGGCTGCACTTTTTTGTATCGTTAATACTTAGTTTTATGGAGTTGAGACCTGGGAAGGTGGCCTAAGCGATTTTTCATTTTTTTGAAATCCATTTGAGCTTTGATTTGCACTTTACCTTGGGTCATCTTTTAAACGTTTCTATGGGACTTTAGAAAAAAATGTCTTCTATCTATGCGTGCTGCAGTTTATATAAAAAATAAAATCAAAGTCGTTCACAGTGGGATTTAAGTCTTCTTTATGCTCGCTATGTACGTTCTATGTCATCTCCCCTCCAAGGCTGCTGTGGCCACATTTTCCTTGCGTGTTTCTGTATTTCTGCACAAGATGGTGTCACTCTCAGAACTTCTCCACCAGGCCATGTCTGAGTGAGAGGCAGGAGTGCACAGGCAAGTCCCACCTCAGCGCACAACCTCCAACCAGGTTATCGCCTGTCATCCTCTGGCTGGAGCCAAGCGGTGGTGACCCGCCCCTGGTCACGCGCACCTTCCAAAAAGACCTCTGCTCCCGGCAAGTCTCACCCTGTCTGCTCCTGTCCTGACACAACCCCAACACCAACAGAGGCTCCGTGACCCTGGGGTGGAGGTGAGGGCACCCAGGCATCCATCCATCCCACCCCCGCCAGGGCCCTGGAGGTGCCCTGACCCTCACGTCTCTCTTCCTGTGAAGTCGCCTCAGTCCTTCCGATACCCTCATCCGAGTCTTCAGGTACCAGAGATGCTAGTGCGGATTTTTTGTGAAAGATGAATGGATATGCAGGACGCAGGACCCTTGGGGCCTCTCCATCCCCGCAGACCAGTGCCTCAGGGTCAGAGCCCAGATCCCTGGCCTGACCCTGGGGCAGACACGTCCTTGGGTGCCTCTGGGGGAATCTTCCTGGAAGGTGCTTGTTGGGGTGCCTCTGGCACTGGTGTGTGCGCATGTGTGCGTGTGTCTATGTGTGTTGGCATCTGGTCTCAGCTTTGCTTCCAGAGGTGATGGACAGCACCGTGATGGAGGCCTGGGCAGGGAGGGGGTTGGGGAAGGCGAGTGGTCCATCCTGAAC